TCCCCTCCCCTGCCCCCCCTCCCGGCGGCCCCCTTCTCCCCACCCCCCGGGTGGAGCGGGGCCGTGAGGGGACGGGGAGCGCCAGCCGCCCCGGGCGCCGGCAGTGCGGGGAGCGGCCGCGGCCCTCGGGGGCAGCCGCCTCCCCAAAACCTGAACCGGTCAAAAAGTACTGGGAAGGCTCGCAGAGGCGTGTTTAGAGGGAAGCTTGAGGAGAAGCACTTTTGTAAACAGTCGGCAGACGGCTTCGCTAGAGAAGAGCTAAGTTATGTTTTACAAGGCACAGCCCAGTAACGTCTTTAATTATGCTCTTAGGAAAGCGCAGATAAAAATGGAAAAATCGCGGCTCTCCAGCCTGACGTTGCTGCCCAAGGCCGCGGCAGCCTTGGAAGACGGAAGCGTTTCTGTGAGTACTGCTGGCTGTTTGGGAGCGATGGGTGGGCACAGCCACAGCGTTAGCCGAGGTCACTTTCCCCAAGTCCCTAATTTCCAAGAAATGCTAATAGCAACTTTATATTAATTGGTGGACTCTACTTTTCTGGTTTGCATTTTTGGTGGTGTTATTCCTTCAGCATGCTGGCCTGCAGATGAGTGAAGGATTGAATGAAGTAGCTAAGAGTGCCTGTTGGAGACAGTAGGGAAAAGGCTGCTAGGGAATTGGGAGAAATACTGAGGTTTCACACAGCCAGGTTGTGAGTCAGTGGGATGATGCTAATTCTGAGAAGTGGGGGGTTAAAGGTTCTCAAACGTTTCTGTAGGGTGAACCATGGCTTAATGCAAGGAAAGGTCTTTCAAACCTCATGTACAGAAAGCCAGTTCCCCCAGTCCTTTGGTATTGGCAGTAAAAGGAAATCACCGCTGTAGCTAAGGTGATTATGAACATGGAGAAGTGATGTTCAGAGAGTACGTGCAATGATCCCTGAGTCTTTGAACGTTACTTAGCAACTGTTAAAAAAGAGTCAGCGGGGGTATGACTAGCCAGGCATCCACAGACCACCTGCAGATGCTGCATAGGCAGAATATAAGGTAACAATCAGGATAAACAGGCAGAATTAAAAAAAAAAACAAACAAACCAAACTTAAAGTGAGAGAAACAAAGACTGATAGTGACATTCTTGTTGCTTCTTCACAGCCTAGATGAAGGGACTGAGTGAGATGGCACAGCTGGTAAGTATGGGTTAGAAACAAGTAAGATCCTTGGAAAATTTTAAAGTAAAATGTGCTAATTTTCTTCCTTGTTTCCCCCCTCCACCTCTTTTTGTCTTTTAGACAGTTTTTTCCCTGTTCTAGGCTTGGCTCTGTCATTGACCTCTTTGGTGTACCCATGGGCAATTTCCTGCCCCTTCGTTCTCCCATCTAAAATGGTTTCCTGCATCCTACAGGTAAATTTTAATTAACGCAGGCAAAAGGACCTCCAGTCTTTGGAGAGAGTTTGAAGAAGTCTTGCCTGAATGTTTCTGAGCATTGTTCTGCTTCTAGCTGCTCAGCATGTCTTGGCTGCTCCAGTTCTGCCCGCTCTGACCATGAGCAGCAATTCCTCCCTCAGCAATGTGAAGGCCCTGAGGAACCTCACCGCGCAGGAAGACGGGGCAGTCAGAGTAACAGAGTCCATTGCTATAATCGTCATTGCTATTTTCATCTGTTTGGGCAACCTGGTGATTGTCGTCACCCTCTATCGGAAGTCTTACCTTCTCACGTTGAGCAACAAGTTTGTGTTCAGCCTGACCCTCTCCAACTTCCTACTCTCTGTACTGGTGCTACCTTTTGTTGTCACCAGCTCCATCAGGCGGGAATGGATCTTCGGAGTCGTTTGGTGCAATTTCTCAGCCCTGCTCTACATGCTGATCAGCTCGGCCAGCATGCTTACTCTTGGACTCATAGCTATAGACAGGTAAGCAGCTCTTTTCTAATGAATCATAACGAATTGCGTAGTCATTCCATCGAGCGACTCGTTGGCTGCTCACAGAGTTGAGAAGCATTGCAGTGGATAACGTTGTGTGCTGTTGTAGTGTCGTTTTGCCTTCAGCCCCTTGTGAAATTTTGATACGGAACAGAAGAAAGTGATGTCATCAATAATGCAAAATGTGGATGTGCATCGAGAGTTTTTTAAAGCTATTGATGGTATAATAGCATACTACTTGAGAAACAAGAAATAATGACGAAAAATTCCGGATTATGCCCTAAGCGTGCACTCGCACGTAGGGACAGATTTAATAGCTGCATGTGAGCCTTCAGCCAAGTTTTAGAATATTGCCTGCAATGATATGTATTTTAATGTCATTATTTTTATAAACAGGGACCCCGAGCCCGCTTTGAGGTTAGGAGAAAAGAGAACTAGATATCAACATCGTTCAAATATGTTCTTTTTTAATTTTCTTTTGTGCTCCTGTTAACTCTTTCTTTTCTTGTCCACCAGGTACTATGCTGTCCTGTACCCAATGGTTTACCCAATGAAGATAACAGGCAACAGAGCAGTGGTAGCTCTTGTGTATGTGTGGCTACATTCCCTTATCGGCTGCCTCCCTCCCCTTTTCGGCTGGTCATCTTTGGAGTTTGACCAATTCAAGTGGATGTGTGTGGCGGCCTGGCACAAAGAGGCTGGCTACACTGCCTTCTGGCAGATCTGGTGCGCATTGCTGCCTTTCGTGGTCATGATGATCTGCTATGGATTCATATTCCGCGTGGCAAGGATTAAGGCCCGCAAAATCCACTGTGGTAGCGTCGTCATTGTGGAGGAGGACTCGCAGAGGAACGGGAGGAAGAACTCCAGCACCTCCACATCCTCTTCTGGCAGCCGAAGGAACGCTTTCCAAGGGGTTGTCTACTCAGCTAACCAGTGCAAAGCTTTCATAACCATCTTGGTTGTCATCGGTGCTTTCGTGATTACATGGGGGCCTTACATGGTAGTAATTACATCAGAGGCACTTTGGGGAAAAAATAGCATTTCCCCTGCCTTGGAGACATTAGCTACATGGTTGTCCTTTTCCAGTGCCATTTGCCATCCACTAATTTATGGACTGTGGAACAAGACGGTGCGCAAGGAACTACTAGGAATGTGCTTTGGGGATCGGTATTATCGCGAGTCCTTTGTTCAGCGGCATAGGACATCGAGGTTATTCAGCATTTCCAATAGGATCACAGGTAAGACGCGTGGCCGCAAAAGATGCTCTTCCTTAATACCAGTAAGAGCAAGGCTTAATGTCTGCGTGTGCTTGGCATGTTTCAGGGCTCTGTAAACAAAGTAGGATGTTTCCAGAGGTTTCAGCAGTCTTTTGTTCAGGTTATCACAGACACTTGAAAGGAGAATTTTTTTTTGTGGGACTTAACCCTTTCTCCCACTCTAGTAAAATTTTTTTCTGCCAGAGAAGACACAGTGATGAGGTTAGTAAAAAATAATTTGTTTTCTTCTCTCCCTTTCACGTGTCTACTCTTTTGTGTTAGATTTGAGCACTACCAGTAGTACATTTTGCAGCACTCGTACTTTGATTCCTGGCTTTATGCTACAACTCTTTGAGATTCACTAAAGTTACAGTGGTGTTACTATTTCTGTAAATTCAGTTTTTAGGCTTAATGGTTGTGAAGAAAAGATCATAAACAAAGTAAAACTATGTAAAGGAGTAAAACTATTTGATGTCTCCCCAAGTTGCAGGCTGAGAGCTTCAGTTGCTCAAAGTGTGTTGTTTTTTCTTTTTTTAAAGTAACAATGTAATGAAATTCTGATTTCTTTTTTTTTTTTTTTTTTTAAATCATTTCCCTGGTCCTGTTCAGAAGCTTACAAAAATAGGACATCTTCATGGGGTCCCTTGGAATATTTCATGCAGAGGCAGGAACTGAAGTTATTTAATTGGGAGGGAAGATCTAAAATGCAGAAGGAAGGAGAGAACAGCAAGGCATCCTTTATTTTTTTCTGCAACCTGGGATTGCTGGGAGAGACTCCCATCTAAATGAAAGAGTTCTGCAGCCGCAGCCACGTTACAAGCTGCGGGAGCTTTGGCAAACCTGTATCCAGGAGATGCTATGGATGAATACATTTGGAACTGAGGTGGGAGGGAGAAGGCAGGAAATCTCTTTCTCTTTCCAAGCGGTAAGAAGCTGACAGCTTCAAATTTATTAGGTGTATTAGCCGGAGGCTGATAGGGAGGGGAAAAAAAAACCCAACCAAACCCACAACAAAATCTTGAAGTGGGATCCAAAGACAGCACCTTTGTAAGAATCCTAGAATCTCCTCCTGGTTTTGGGCATTTGAAAGAAGCCAGGCATCTCTGTGCCCCAGCCTTGCTCATCAGCTTCCTGCCACGCTAATGGCCTGTCACAGCTGCTGGTGGCTACCAGGTTATTCTCTATGTAGAGGGTGGCTGGCAAATATCCCCATCTCTCTGAGTGCGTATGCTCCATGCTCAGCCTCTCTGGCTGATAAAACACATGCAATTGCAAAAAGAGCGGTAGGGAGACGGTGCAGGTGGAAAGGAGACTTGCCATATGGAAAGACTCCAAGGACACCTGAAAGGTGCTGACTGGATTTTTAAGATGGGAAGCCCAGATGCTGTGCACTCTGGATCAGCAAGGTAAGTTTTACACATAGAATAATAAATAAGGCAGTAGAGTGGGTATTACTGGAAGAGATTTTTACTATTGCAAACCCCTTAAACATTCATTGTGTAACAAGAACAAAACTCTTGCAGATTTGGGACTATCTCCTCATCTCACTGCCCTCATGGCAGGTGGGCGGCCATTAGGAAACAGCAGCAGCACAGGAGACACCGGGTTCAGCTGTTCACAGGATTCAGGTAACTAAAAGTCTCTTGCCCTCTTTTCTTGGGCAGAAGATTGCATGTGTAACTTGGCAGAACTCTCGAGTGTCGTGGTTTAACCCCAGCCAACAACTAAGCAGCACTCCACCCGGTGGGATGGGGGAGAGAATTGAAAGAGTAAAAGTGAGAAAACTCATGGGTTGAGATAAAGACAGCTCAATAGGTAAAGCAAAAGCCGCGCACGCAAGCAAAGCAAACCAAGGAATTCATTCACTGCTTCCCATGGCAGGCAGGTGTTCAGCCATCCCCAGGAAAGCAGGGCTCCATCACGCGTAACGGTGACTTGGGAAGACAAAACGCCATCGCTCCGAATGTCCCCCCTTCCTTCTTCTTCCCCCAGCTTTCTGTGCTGAGCACGATGTCATATGGTGTGGGATATCCCTGCGGTCAGCTGGGGTCAGCTGTCCTGGCTGTGCCCCCTCCCAACTCCTTGTGCACCCCCAGCCTCCTCGCTGGTGGGGTGGGGTGAGAGGCAGAAAAGGCCTTGACTCTGTGTAAGCCCTGCTCAGCAGTAATGAAACCGTCCCTGTGTTATCAACACTGCTTCCAGCACAAATCCAAAACATAGCCCCATACCAGCTGCCATGAAGAAAATTAACTCTATCGCAGCCCAAACCAGCCCACAGGGATAGCCTGTATTTACTCACACAGATGTCTCTTGGTGGGTGGATGACAGGAAGCATCTGTTCCAGCTGTTACAACAAAACTGCTGCAGTTGCTTTTTTCTGTTCTTTCTCTCAATATACTTACTTGCAAAATACTGTTTACTCCAAGGAGCGATGACCCTCCCTTGATAATGTGTCCTGGGAACAGGACTTGCTGCTTTTGTGCCCTTCTCCTTTAGTTTCTGTCATTCTTCAGGGACTTTCCCTGTATCCACAAGGAACAGAGCAACAATGTGCTTCTCTGTTTCCTAGTTTGTAAGAGACCTTGTCTTGTTCATCCTGCAGTGTAAACATAAACACTTAGGACAGTTTCAGCTTATGATTGTGTCACTACTTAAGATCTCTCAATTGAAGATGGTTTGGAAAAGGGAAAAAGAGTTCTGCCGGTAATATTCTATCCAGAACTGTAGCAAGATTTTTCTGGCAGTTAATTCAGCTACCACTCCTTAACCACACTACAGTTATTTTAAGGAGTATTTCTGCTCTAGAGACACCAGAGTGATCTTCTAACGTTTGCTTGGTGTTAGAGGTTTGTTTCTTACTTTTGTAAAGGAAGTCCGTGGAGCTAGGATTGATTTTGGTAGTTGTTTTACGCTGGTAGTTTTATGCCTGTTGTGGGTATTCGGCAGATGTATGTGATAAAGAACAGCATCCCACTAAACCTGGCTCGGTTAAGAGGATATTGTGTTACCATCTTTTGAGGAATGGTACTGAGCGGTTTAAAACAAATGAACAAACTAAGTACATACCGAATGCTATTACAAGTGCCACTGTTATGGAGAGGGTACAGTCCATAGCCCGGGAATAGATATACAGTGATCTACTGTGAAGTACATTTTCACTGAAAGCCTTTACTGTGAGGAACTAAAGAGCAGAAAGAAGTCTTAGTCCCTCTTCAATGCTGCCTGCTGCAGTACATCCCATGGCCTGCGATGCAGTTATGCCTTTATCTGCCCTGGTAAACAGAAGCTGGGCTTTTCATGTTGTGAAAAACAGATGAAGTAGTAGGAGAGGAAAAAAAATCCAAGTGGTGCCAGCTGCACACAAAATATGAAGTGAGACCTGAGTCCCAGTTGCTAGAGATGCTGCCTTAAGATCAGTTATTCCAAGGACAAAGATCCGCCCTGTAAGAATAAGAGGCTAGTCTCTTCACTAGCTTCATTTGAAAAAAATGCATTGAACTAGTGCATTTGAAAAAACGTGCTAAAATTCTGCTCCATGGAATAAAGTATTTCTTTCTTCCTAGTGCCACCCTTCCACTGCACACTACCTTTCTGAGGAAGATCCGGTACCCTTGGAGGTCAGTCAGAGTCTGCTGTTTTCAGTAGACAGCCTCGAACCCAGCTGATCCACAGAACAGCACAGAGAGTCGTTAGCTTATTTGGGACTGTGTATTAGGGCAGCAGCTCGTTCTCTTTCTTGTGTGCTGGAGGGAGATGTATGACATAACACACAAGTTTCACCTTAAAAAGTTTTATCACTTTGCTGTAACACAATGAATTGTCAGCAGAGACTAGACCTACGGAGCAGTATGTTGTCTAGAGGTACACCCCCAGTGATGTCTTTTACTTTCTGAAAAATGGGTGCTGGAACACCTCCTTATTGCAAAAAGGATAAATCTGGGGATCAAAAGCAGTCAAGTGGGTGAAGAGGGATGTGAAGCCACCATCTAGAGGAGTTATGGAACCTGCAAAGGCTCTTTGTCCTAAGCCTGTTGTCACATCGCAGAAGTAAATGGACTGATAAAGTGTCACGCATCGAGTGTGTGCAAGCTGGGTCTTCCAACAGCACCTTCCCTGAGGACTGCTCGCTCAGCACTGTCCTAGCGTCTCCTCAGAATGCTTGCTCTGCTTCTCCCTTACGTAGCAGAGACCAGTGTTGCAAGGGAGGTCTAGGCTGCAGTCTTGCCTGTTGTGTGAAAGCATTGCAGAGATGCCAAGATAAATTTCCTTGTGCTTGTAAACTCTATTTTACATTGGAAAGGTGCAAAGCAAATGCAGGGAGGTGAAATAAAAAAATTGCTGCCAAACTGAAAAAATGATTCATCGGACGAAAATCATTCCTAACCAGCAAGGGATTTTTCCCCATTAAAATACACTTCAAGAAAGTCAAAACAGGTTATTAGAGACAAACTAAATTGAACAGAAAAATTCTCCAGTTCAAATTTCCAGCCAGGTTTGATTACAGGCATGATATTTGGCAGCTATGGTTGTCTGCCTCTCGGGTAGCCATTGTTAGCGTCTTGTCTTCATCAGGAGATGGGGGAAGTTGCTCTCAACTTCACTGTTTATTTATCAAAGGTAAGGTTTCACCTTTGTCTGCTGTCCTATTGACATTATAAGCTCTGCAGCTGAGCTTTTCGGAGCTGCTTGAGGTTTTAGATGGCTAATGAGAAAAGATTTCCAAATCCTTTCAATGAAAACTCTGACCTCGTTCTTTTTACGTGCAGTGTTTAATGCAAGCTGAAATTTACTCGCAAAAGCTGAGTTTAGACATCTTTTGAAGGAACTGCTATAGAATGAAAAGTTTTTACCATCACTTAAATATCGTACCCCAGCGTTAGTCTGTTTTGCTTGAGAACTCTTGCTCTGTTTCAGGAACAGATGCAATGCTTCTTGAAGATTATAGCTCAGATGGCCCTCATGCCCCACACTGCATCTGTCCCCCTCGAAGGAGGAGTTCGGTGACGTTTGAAGATGAAGTAGAGCAAATTAAAGGTGGGCTTAGGGGTAAGTATGGAAGTGCTCAGAACCAACTACGTTGCCTGCTCAGGAAGCCTCCCAGAACCTTCAGAATTGCCTTAAAACATATCTGACCACTGTTCACCTTGACATGCCTGACTCTTCAGGCAGGTACAACAGAAAGTAAGATCAGGTCTTTCTGCCAGTTCTCAAGTAGCAGCAGACAAGGACAAGAGTCAGAAGCTGGGATTCCCTGCATACGCATCATTTATGTTGCACAGCAGCATCTTCTCTGCAACTCCACTCATCTGGTGGCTGTTGCAGTCCGTTTTCTGTTTCGCAAGGAATACATTTTCCTGCCCTCATACTTTGATTCCATTATCCCAGTGTTTCTCATTTGCTGCCTCCTCTCAACTTTGTCATTCACAGACTTGAAATTCTTCCATTTACAGACTTTAATGGTTTGAATAGAATTTCATTCTGTTTCACTTCCTTTTTTTTACTTAACTTTTACTTCATTTACTTTACTGAGTATGTTTCTGAGCAGATCTGGGTGATAATAGATGAACCACGTGCACTTTTTTCCAGTCAACTCACTTGCTGATTCTGTGCTAGCAAAGCATTGCTGTGATCATCTGTAAAATATGGCACAGTTAGTTTAATTTAAGCTGATATTTACAATAATATGGACTAGAAGACTTGACAACAATTGAATTTTCTAAACAATACATGATTGTGGACAGTACAAAAATGAGCAGAATCCCTTTAAGAGTCAAGTAATAATAAAACCTGACTGGTTTTTATGATTCTGAAATAATGAGAAGATTCTCTCTGTGGAATTTTCTCTTCAAACATCTTGGCAAAATTCACTCTTGCCCTCTTCCGAGCATGAGCTGATTATTTCCTTGGACAAATACATTACCATACGTTTCCCATTATCTTTCTGACTGATTATGTAGGAGCAGGCATCTTTCTTTTTTCTCTCTCTTTTTTTTTTTTTTTTTTTGTTTCGTTCAGGGGAACAGGGTGGTGTTAT